AATCCCTCCTGAGAACTGCTCCGCATGAAAACGCCTGGCTAACATTCAAGAGCAATCTAGGTTGCTTTGGTAAATTCTTTGCATTCTTTTCTCTGAAAACAGAAGATTATCGTGGGAATACGTTACCGACGTAACAATACACATAACGTGATAAAATCGGGAATAGAGTTTACAGTCGTTGCACAATTCTACTTCGAGGAAAAAGAATTCTACTTCAAGGAAAATTACTTCTTTAATCTTGTTCAGTGTGGTGCTTCATGTGGCCACTATGTTGTCCAGTATTGAAATTAATTTTGTCTTAGACCTTTTCCTTATGTACAGGTTTAGGATAAATAAAGTTTAATACTTTCTTCTAGAAAATTCACTGATTTTTTGAACTTTGATAGGGAAAGGTAGGCGTTCCATTTAAAAAATTCAAGTTCACTTTCATATCTCGTAAACAAATAGGTTATTTAAAAAAAACCATTTCATCATATGCTCCCTTCGATACCGTGCAATTTCTGTATAAAACACTTTTTTTGTAAAATACGTATTATAGAAATTATTTGAGGTGGACATGTGAATCATCCTGTATATTTAACGTCCACGTTAATTGCACATCTTACCGTATTATGATATATTGCACATTTATAAATGTAAAAGTGAAGTGGAAAAGAAATGAAAAAGTTAACTCTATTACTTAAATTTCTTTTCAATATTAGATACGTTTACTAAAACAATTACTACCAATAATAAATCATCCTCTGAGAAAGTTCTTATATTTAAATGTAAGCTAAAAAAATATCTTGATATTTCTTTGTAATTATTTTACATTATAAAAGTTTATGCTATCAGTATATTTATTACTTCAAAATAAATAAAATCTATTCGCGATCTATGTTCTTCATGAAACAAACAAATTACAAAGCATCAATGGAATAAGGCAATAATAAGAATATAATCATGAAAAACTGATAAAGTACAAGTTGATACGATAATGTTCATTTTATAAACCAGTAATCTCAATAAATATCCTTCTAAACCATTCTTTTTTAAACGAGAACAAGAATATCGAAATCATCGCTTGCTCGTAAATAATAAAGGAGCAAAGAGCTATCTGTCCCCTTGATTCAACGTTATTATTCCATCTGAAGGAACAGAAAACGGTCGATCCTTTGTTTGGCACGGTTTATGACACGGTCGCGAAGAAGGGCTATTTTTCAGATTCACGACTTTAGCTTACCGTGTTAACTTCTCACATATTTCTCGCCAGGAGAAATTCTATTGCCTAAGGTTTTAGAATTTTTATTTCGTTCGTCTTCAATACCAAAAGATGTGTCACGAAGCTGGAGTTTCTTAAGGTCTAACCCGAAATCGGTTCCTACCGGTATAGTCGATGGAAGAAATATAGCAACGTCGTAAATTAAAGCATTAAGTAGCCGCACAGATTGATGCAGCGATTTTTCAATTGGGTCTGAATCAAAGCTGAGACATGCTTCATGCGACCCCGACTAAAATTTCGAGACTTTATCGTCACAGGTTTCTGTCAATTCACTTATCATTATGCTCGAACACGTACTACGCAGAACTAGAATGATTACTGGGCCTAATTGGCTACTTTCGTTTGCTGCAACCTGTATTATAAACTGAGTGTCACATTATTTATGAATGTAAACAATATGCCAACGTAATTATTAATTCTTTGAATAGGCAAAACCGCGTTTTTGACTCGAACAGTTAGTCTAATACAGTGCCGTTCAGTCATTGCCCGTGCGGGCAGCGTTTTGGGCTCCCCGGGCGTAAACAAATCTGCGGGCACTAAGCCACGCCTTCTCGGGCAACGGCGCGTGAACTGCGCGTTGCTGAGAGGTTGCCGGGTGGAAGGAGTACGTGTCTGATTGGGTTATGTCTCCATAGGCCCACCTCCTCTAACACAATCGTAGAAATAGGGCACATGTATTGTCATTATTGGCCGACGCGACAGGTCGACGGACTGGATCATTTAAAATTGCGTGGCGTGACATTTAGGCGGCACGATTGGCCCTGTGTCGTCTCGCGAGAGATAGGGTAATTTCGGGAGAGATGGACCAGGCAAGTATTTCCTACATTATCCGCCAGATATGGAAGAAAAAACACTCAGAGCAACGCTCGATCGCTTTCCGTAAAACAAGTGTAAAACAAAAGAATACTGACGCGTTCCACATATGGCGGATAATGTAAGAAATACTTGCCTGGTCCGTCTCTCCCGGAATTACCCTATACGATTTCCAGTCCTGCATAGTAAATTTTGACGCCTCAGCGAACTTACGACCTCGCTATATTTCTTCCATCGGCTATACATAGAATCGACGAGTCAGAACCGGGTGGAAATTCCGCATCGTTCGAAAGGAAAAAAGTGTGCTAGAAGGACGTTCGCGATATCTATTAGACACGCTGATTGGCAATTAGAACTTTTTGCCATCGTCAATCAGCGTACACTGACTTCTAACAGCGATCGAGTCAGACTGCGGAAGTCAGTACAGGTTCATCTTCCGTAAAGCCTTCGTCAAGTGTTCTATACATTTACCGCAATCATCAACCAGTCGAGACGATATCGTACAAAATAGCAGTGGCGTCTCGTAAGAATTTGTAGTGGAGGGGTTGTAGCAATGAAAATAAAAAAGATCAATATGGATTGAAAAAATTATATCATTAATAAAACTAAGGGCAATATTTGAAAAGTGGACGGCGTCACTGATTTCGACGATTTTTAAATACGTTGTAAAAATCAACATTTTGAACAACTTTTTCCTAAAACAGGAATTTTCATTTTATACTGGAGGGGCTGCAGCCCTTATGGACGAGCCGCCACTGTAAAATAGTCAATCGTCTAATTTTGAATCAATTTGGTAGCCAATATTAGTTTGGTGGTTAACAGTTATCAATTTTTGTATTTATACCATATATTTATTCTTTGTTTTATAACTTTCGTAGTGGTTTAGTTTAATCTTCGACGAAGCTTTTATTCTTAACAACAATTTTAAATACTTTCTTTTCCATCAAACTACTATATAAATACTGGGTGTCCTAAAAGTTAGTTTCATAATTTATCTTTAAATAACTTCTAAAAAAAGAGTGTCAATTTTTTTCAGGTATATTAATTATCGAAGCTTGGAAGCTAAACACGAAGAACATTATCGTCCAGATGGCCATTTCTATTCGCGACACAAATTCTAAATGTGTCTGCGGTAATGTCGTTCATTTCTTGGCGAATATTCCCTTTAAATTGTCGAATTGTTGCTGGTTTATTAGCGTGGACTTTGCTTTTTAAGATATTCCAAAAAAAGAAATTGGAGGCATGTCAGGTGTAGCGATCTGGACGACCAGTCAATGCTATCACTTTTGGAGATCAAATGACCTGGGAACATGTTTCTCAGAAGTTGTAACGTATCACATCTGTTACTGTTGGGACCACATATTTTCTAGACCCAACTCGTCCACTTCGCATGATAAGAAATTTCGCCACATATGTCGTTAAAATATTGTGTAAAGCAGCGCTTGAAAGAACACGATGACGGAGGTGTTTAGTTCTTGTTCAACTCTGTCACGCATGCTTGGAATATTTTCCGCCGAGCATCCGGTTGGGGGACGGTGAAGAATGTGGTTTAGCTGCTACAATACCGAACTCCCGGAAATTCTCGGTTAAATGTTTCATTGTTTTGTATTCGATCGAATTTTCTTATGCATAATATTAGCGAACACATTATCTATTAACTTTAGCAATTATCTAACCACTTTGAGTCACAATGTTTTCGAGGCTGTCTTTAGGAAGGCCCTCGTCATCTGTTAGGGCTTGCGTTCATCTTTCGATCGTCCAAGCCTTGCCGGTTTTTGCACGTGTGTGCCGACTAATGTACTAAGGCTACGAAGGACCAGTTTCTTGGTTGAAACACTAAGTTTTATTTGTGTAGCCTTTGTTCTGACTTGTTTCGAGGTCTAGAGTCTATTCTGCCGGAGTCTCCGCGGTTTCCCTCGACGGAGACTCCCAGTTTTCCTTTTTTAAAATCACCAATCAGTTTACTCCGGTGCATCGCAATCTCCCTCCATTTCGCCCTTAGTGCGTTATCGTAGGGTTGGGTGTGCAATGATCGGAGAAGGTGTTCGGTGGACGGATGCGTGGGAATCCTGTGGAATCTCCGCTTTTCTAGGCTTCGTCAAAGTCAAGCGGCCCATCGACGTTGGCCAAAGTCGCGGGCCACTTTTCTATTTTTCCCTTCGGAGACTCCAGGATTTATGGCAGGGTCTGGTCGCAGGCAACGCAATAAACACTTGTGGCGTTTTGAGAAAGCGATATTTGCCTGCGACGACGACCACTTGACTCGCTGCCATAAATCCGGCTACAGGATACGCCTTAACATCATCGCAGCCTAACTCATCCACGGTAGGGCTCGAGGAAAATAATCACATGTATCTCTTCCCCTTAAGATAAACAGCTACAAGTATAACCTAAAAACCTAGGAAACTTTAACTCTCCTAACAATAATTACCAACCGAACATCTACCGCTTAATAAACTTTCGTAACGCAATCAGTTGCCGCCTTCCGTGAAACCCAATAAACGAACGTTCTTGAATTGTGCAGCTTTCCATAATAAATCTCCCATATGTGTACTCCACAAGTGTCACATACAAGCTGCCAAAATGGCAGCCAATTAAAGTGTGAAGCTAATTTTAGGAACATGTATAATACAATGACTTCGGTGAAACTAACAAAAAATAAGCGTGAGTAGAACAGTGACACATAGAGTTATTTTTCAGATTTCCCGTACCTGGAGATTGTGGTAGATTAATCACTTGTGTCGACGGATATCCACGGTTGCTTACCTGCGGTGATGGGAAATTGTTCGATTCTGTGAGCTTAAGTTGTTTGGATCCTGATGAACTGCCTCATTGGTACGTTATTATATATATATATTAATTTTTATTCTACGCAGATATAAGATAGAAGCTACGTTAAATAACATTTCTGTTTTTGTTTCAGTGCCAATAATCTTTAAATTATATAGTGGTGTAAATGATCGCGCAATAATTTAATCATTTATTGGAGAAATTGTAAAAGAACGTTGCTAAAGTTGTGAAAGGTATACCGACACCTCTGTCAGTACGAGAAACATGGTACTGATAAATTCGTGTGATTCGACAAGTCACCATTACAAATAAATCAATCTTTTTCTGTTCATTCCAAAATAAAGGTTATTCTCAATTGCACTCTTTATCGCTGTATCTACTGTCCAATTCATTTATCTTTTGTCAAATAAATTTCCTTAACTACTGCGAATTACTATACTTTCTTTTCTTTACGGATTACGTCAAATTTAGCACTACTCTGTCCTGAATGAAAAGGAAGCAGAATGATCTAACATTATGTTGGCAACTAAGTTCGCGACCTCCGCATTTTCTTGAACAAAATTATTTCTTAAAATTATACAAGTAATAATTTTCAATTGAAATATGCCTCATTTGATTCGATAATCTTTTGCCATATTTCGGGCAATTTTTCAATTCCTCGGCGGTAGAAGTTGGTCATTTTTGCTTCGAAATATGTGAACAGGTGCGTTTCGACGTTCTCAAATTTGGAAAAACGTTCTCCAGCCGAGGTATGCTGTAGCGACCTGAACAAGTGGTAATCATCGGGAGGAAATGAATTAGGCGTTCCCAGTCCAATTCGACAATTTTCTACAGCACTCGACGTGCAACATGCGAATAATCCCTTTTCGTAAGAGTTGACGAAACGAATTTTTTCTAAGTTTTGCCTGAACACGATCAAGTTGGAATGAGGTACGACCATTTTCAACCAGCTCCCAGTGAATAACACCCCCGATTCACCACCAAACGCACAAAACAGACGGTCGCGAATTTAGTTGCTAACCTAGTAATAAAGTGTCGACTTCAAGTCGACATGCGTTACGAAAACCAGCACGTTTGTCTTCACTGTCGCGAAAAATATCATGTTTCATTTTTCGACGTGAAAAGTAGCACGTTTGAATCGTTGGCTGAGCATGTTTAGCTTTATACTGCAGCAACCGACAAGATTTGTTTTCTTTTTTTGGACAATGCAAGTCAGATACGATCGAATCTGATGTAATTAGAATTTTGTCCTGATGTGACCACAATACACGGTATTGCTCGTTTAATTGTCGCAGGCTCAGGTTCGCATTACGACTGTTATCGAGGGAGGTATGTTGGAGTTCTGGGAATTCTTGGCAGTTATCTCTCTTCGGGTGGTTCGCTTCTTGAGTGCGTCGGAGTCGAGAATGGGAAATATTTTCATATTTTTTTCATTTTAAAGATTAACCTCTTAGCTACGGCTGGAATTTCCGCGGTGCTGTGTCTCTGTAGGCACGGTATGCGCGTAAATAATGTTGTTGCGTCTTGTACTTCGAGCAAGCTGTATGTTCGAGAGTGGTGGAGCTGGATTGTCGCTGGTTCGTTGGTGAGGTTTGGTTGGTGGTGTGATTAGAGTGTGCACGTATTTTAATATATTAAAAGAAAATACTTTATTTCTGACGAGTGGTACTTTTATGTGGTGTGTGATCGACGTGAGTTACTTGTCCATTCTGTCTGTTTCTGTTGTGCCGCGTTGGTCAGCTTATTTTATAAAAAAGTGGATGGGTAGGAAGTGGTGGTCTACGCCAATTGGAACGGGTCTACCCCCTTGGACAGTCCTCCATGGGCCGCGAGCATGCCGCCCACCCTGCAATTTCCAAGTTGGCAGGGTGGTGGTATGTCGCGTTGGCGGGGGAATGGGGCCCAAGGGTAGCTCGCTCGTAATGGGACTTGTGCGGTCAGAGTGACGCGAAAGGCTTTATGACATGTCAATGTCTATTGAACGTTCACGAGTGGGCACCGGGAAGGTATGTGGCCCGCAGAAACTTTATTTTTCTGCAGCCATAAAATGCTTCCTGGGCTTCGTCGCCAATTTGAAAGGAAATTTTAATTAACGCGAAGCAAAAAGGGGCGCATTCAAAAATAGCGTAAACAGGCGTCCATGTCATACAGCCAATCCCTAACAAATGTAGCGATTTGTGCTTGGTGATACTCTCCACTATGAAATTACATCGGAACAGAGTTATAGATGAATAAATTGTAATGTATTTACACGCCAAAGCCACTGTATTTTTCAAAAAGATGACCTACGCGAAAGTTACTATAACTAAGAGGTTAAATGGAGTCATTATTTGTTAAACAATATTTTTAAAAATTAAATTTTTCGATGCAAAATGCCTTTTAACAATTTAACACTAACCGTACCGACACTTATCCGGGCAAACGACCGGTTACGAAATAATCGTATTTCTTCCGAAAGGAATACAGGTGATTGTCAGCCTTTAGATAATAATAATAAAAAAATTACATATTTTTATTTTTAAGAAAATACAGGGGAAAAACAGGTGCATGGTTTTATATTGAAATTTCAAAACCGGTCATTTGGCCTTTTTCTTTATAAGGAAGTAGCAAAAATTAATGTAATTTTTTAAAACTAATATTTTTATTAGAAGTTAGTTCTTTCAAACTATTTCACTGCTGAGATCTCTAAACATGTAGTGAACCATTCACGGGGGTCCATAGACCTGCTATTTTGGAAAGTATCATCCTTAACGTTGCCTCTAATGGTAAATATAATGTCGCTTCTTAACCGCCTCTCGAGTATGATGCAGTGCCGTTTAACGGGCCTTCAGGCGGGCAAGGGCACCCACCGTTGCCCGCGGGCAGAGCTGAGGGCGAAGTCGCGGGCAACCACGTCGGTTTCAATAAATCGAAAATTTCTTTTGTCTTTCTTTTCAAATTTTACACGAGTGGAATACTACGGTAGAAGGGTTTTTTGAAATTTAAAAAATTGACTTTATTTTGACTTTAGTTGATTTTATGAAAACTACCTTACCCTACATTTTTACATTGTATTAACAGAGTGTGTTGGACAATTGCTTGAAAAACAACATTTTGTAGTAAAAGAATAGTTAACATTGCGGCATTTGTTGGTGCTACTATTTCTAATGATTACAGAAACATTCTGTCAATGCTGCAACTTATGAATGTAAAGATTGGAAATAATGCACACGGAGGACAATTTCGGGCAATTTTCGAACCGAACGTGCTTATACTCGTGACAAACGATGGAAATGTGCTTCTTTACGTGGTAAACAGACATGTGCTACTTTTCGTGACGCACGTCGACATGTAACAACGATTATCCGAATAAAATGAGAGCATGCGTAGAAAAAATATACAACGTACATTTTATTTGAATAAATCTACATTGATACAAATGTGAACGTTTTAATTAGACACTTATAACAAATGCGAACAGAAGAAGTGAGATGGCTAAGGGAGAGTATTTACATTTCAACTGTAGGAGTGATGTAGAACGAATGGTGAGAGTTGCTTAACAATAATTAAGAGTATACGATCAAGACGTGCTTCTTACTACTATTCAACTAAACCTTTTTAACATAAACATACGTGCACGAAAAATCGGCAAAGAAAAGGTCCACGTCAACTTTAAGAAAGTAAGAAAGAGAAAAAAAAAACGATATAAAAGGAGATAAAATAATTTCTATTACGTAGAATCACAAGTAACGGTTGAATACCTTTTTTTTCAAGAAAGCGACGAGTATAGGTAAATTGAAAAAAAAAAAAGAAAACTGTATTTCACAACAACGCTTGCTCCCTATTTGTTTTGTTAAGCAGAGCCGTGTCACCGATTGTAACGTCGATAAATTTACATTTTTTTTTTGTTACTATAGTTGTACTCAGATTTTTCGTTTCAACGATTCCTGTAATAAATTTTCACTCACCCGACGTACAATTTGTACCATTCTATTAGGCTGCATTCTCACATGTGCAACGTGCAACGTACAAACACTTCAAGAACTCCCACAAACTCCTCGAATGTTACATTCTAAGATTGTCCTGAACGATTAAGCGATGTTACTTTAAGATAAATCTCTGGAAATGTAGATATTTGTCATAAAATAGGATATTTCAGTGAAAATGAAAATTCATTCTTCGGTTTATCCGAACACGAAGTAACGATTACTGTGTTAATGGTAAAAAAGAGTACGGTAAGTCTAAAATCATTGGGAAGCTCGAACTTAGTGTTCCAACTGTGAAACAATGTTTAATAACAAGTAATACTTCTTACAATTACATCATATGATTTTTGATAATATCGACTTATGGATAGTACAATTTTGGTAGCATCCTAATAGAGTAACATAAATAATGGAACGAAATAAACACAAAGCAAAAACAGAAAGTGAAAGAAATAGAACAATAGAGTAACGAAGTAAATATACAGAGTGCCCCAGTTTTTTCCGATTAAACTTTGTCAGTATGTTCTACGGGTATAAGTAAGAAAAAAAATGTTATATAAATATAAGTCGTTTGAAGCTTTGTTAAAAAGTTATAAACGATAATACGAAATGAATGGTAACGCATGTGCTTGAACCCCAACTTGGCGGTAAGGATTTTTGCTGTTGAACTTTTACAATTTCTAGACGTTGGTAAGGATGGAACTAACGTCTGTGTGAAATTTCAGCCTGATAAAACCAGCAGCACGGCTTTTCCAGAGA